ATCCTCAAATTTGCATGGAATATCAATTTGTATAGCTAAATTGTAGTAAGTCAGATCCCATTTTAAATTATTGGGCATTCTATATTGTCCAATGACTTCAGAAAAGTTTAATAGCCCAACATAATAAATGCATGCAGTACTGACCAAAAGATTAAGCAGGTATGAGTACACTCCTATGAGTTTCTAACAAACCAATTTTTTTCAAAGGGAAAGATGCTTAGTACACTCATCAATTACTTTTTTCTTTGGACTTTCATTGCCAAAGCTCACAAGCTATAATATTTAACTATTTATATTTATATAAATATAAATATAATTTATATAAATATATATTTATATAATATATAATATATATATTTTATATTTATATAAATTATATAAATTATAAATAAATTATATAAATTATTTATATATATAAATTATTTATATAAATTATATAAAATATAAATTATATTTATATTTATATAAATATAAATAGTTAAATATTATAGCTTGTGAGATTTATTTATTATAGCTATAATATTTATATAGCACTTACTGGCCAAACACAGTGGCTCACACCTGTAATCCTAGCACTTTGGGAGGCTGAGGCAGGTGGATTGCTTGAGCCCAGGAGTTAAGAAACCAGCCTGGGCAACATGGCAAGACCCCATCTCTACCAAAAAAAATACAAAAATTGGCTGGATGTGGTGGCACTCGCTTATAAGTTCCAGCTATTCAGAAAATTGAGATGGAAGGATGGCTTAAGCCCAGGAGGTAGAGTTTACAGTGAGCCGAGATAGCACTGCTGCACTCCAGCCTGGGCAACAGAGCTAGACTCTGTCTCAAAAAACAAAGAACATTTTAAAAAGAAAAAAAGAAAAAAAATTTTTAAATGTATATGTATATACATACATATCAGCATTTCCCATGTGTCAGACATTGTAAGCCCTGAATATACATTAATTGATGGAATCTTCACAGCTGTCCTCTGAGCTACCTGAGGAGGTGAAATGACTTACACAGCAAGTGGGAGACCAAGATTTGAATCCAGCTCATCTCCAGAGTGCACGTTCTTAGCCAATGCTGTTTATATTGGCTTTGATTGTACTCCTTTATCAATAAATTGCATTTACACTTAAGTGTTTCTCTTGGCACAGAGCAAGCTATGTTATTTCTGTTTGTGTTCTAATGTGGGACCTGAGGAATCCTGGCAGGATGGGGAGGAAGGGCCCAGGATGGGAGTGAGCAGACAGCCTGGAGTCCCTGAGACATTCATTTCCCAAAGTATGGTGCAAGGGTCCCATGGGGTACAGAGTGGGTTTAGACAGTCCATGAATATTTCAGCAGTCACTGACTTATTTTAATGTATAACAGAAAAAGATATGAATAGCACATCAAACCTATGATTTTAGGTGATGCCCATCAAAATCTCGAAAGACACAATCCTGAATGCCATAATCCCAAATGTTGACATCCAGAAAGATCAAAGTCCCTGATGTCCTAACATCTCTAATGTCTAACATCTCAAAAGTCACAATCCCAAAAGTTGAAATCCTGAAAGCTGAATTCTGGAAAAGGGGCTAGTGCATTTTTAGTTGTATGAAGGATAGTTACATTATGTTGGTCCCGTCATAGGCAGAACTACCTAGCCTGTATTTGGAAGTTAAGTATGGTTTAAGGAGAATGCATATGGGTGCCAAGTTATCAGGAGGTCAACTTGTCACTGTGTAAACACAGTGTAAATAGGAGAAGTATGGCATGAAATGGGCTGAAATGGAAAGCAGGGCTCAGAGCCTTGAAGTCCAATACAGCCCATCTAGATTTTATTCCAAGAGCCGTGGCAGACCACTGAAGAATTTTAAGCAGAAAAGTGGCATGATCCAGTTTATGTTTTGAGAGGAATAATCTCGATGCTGTATGGACACTGGATTAAAGCTGGGTTTAGAAAGCAGGAAGGTGACTATGAGGCAAGAAATGATGGTGGCTTGGACTAGAAAGTAGCAGTGGAGATGGAAGGAAGTAGGCAGATTCAAAATGTAATTTGGGGAAGACCCTCCCACAAGGCCCTCTGTCTCTGCGAGAGAGAGAACTGTTCTCCTTTCCCTTTCTTCCACCTATTACACCTCCGCTCTTAAACTCACTTCTTGCACGTCCGTGTCTTCAATTTCCTTGGTATGAGACGACACTGCTTCATTTTGGGGCCCCGTATGGGACCACTGGAAGGGTTTCTAATAGCTTTGAAGATTGCAGCATTGGAATAGAGAAAAAACATGCAGGATTCACGAAGAGCTGAAATGTTCATGAATGTCAAACAGGACTTAACTGCATGAACTACACTAATAGAAGTCTGAAGACACAGCTGGAGAAGCTGATGGTTTTACCAGGGCTTTGACTGGAGAGTGTGCTTCCATTTAAGGAATCAGGCTTGACTTGTAGAACCAATAAAAGCCCCTTGGGGATGACTGGCCTCCTACCTTGTCTACATGGTCCCCGTACAGATTTCCTAACCTGTGACTAACCCTGCTTATTCACGTGAATTGAGTAGGGATCTCCTGCAGCTTGGAAGAAACAAAAAGGAATGGGTAATGTAAAAACCTGGGCAATATGCCAGTTCTGGGCAATTTTCCTGCAAATCCTGCCAGGTATAAAAGTAAATAGGGTGCCCATAAAAAAATGTAAGTTGGAGGTAGCATTGGTGGACCTTACTTATGATTTAGGTGTGGGATAGTAAGGAATAAGGAAAAATCAAGAACTACTCTCAGTTTCTGGCTTCAACAAACCTAGTAACTGTCGGTACCACTCTCTGAAGTATTGGCAGCTGAAAAAAGAAGAGTTATGGTCCCTTAATGCTTGTGAGTCATCGAAGCTATCAGATGCATATAACGCTGGAGCTCTGTGGAGGGTCTGAGATACAGATACATATCAGGAAATCATAAGCATAAAGCTGCTTTTTAAAGCCAATAGCAGCTCACCTAGTAAGATAATCTAGAGCTGTACTGTCCAATATGGTAACCACTGGCCATATGTGCTAATATAAATTAATTAAAATTAAATAAAAGTTAGCTGGGCACAGTGGCTCACATCTGTAATCCCAGCACTTTGGGAAGCCAAGGTGGGTAGACCACTTGAGGTCAGGAGTTCAAGACCTTCCTGGCCAACATGGTGAAACTCATTCTCTACAAAAATACAAAAATTAGCCAGGTGTGATTGTGCATGTCTGTAATCCCAGATGCCCCAAGGTTGAAGAAGGAGGATCTCTTGAACCAAGGAGGCAGAGGTTGCAGTGAGCCAAGATGGCATCACTGCATTCCAGCCTGGGTGACAGAGCAAAGCTCTCATAAAAAGATTTTTAAATTAAATAAAATTTAAAATTCCATCCCTCAGTCATACTACCCACATTTCAAGTGCTTAGTCGCCATCTGTAGCTAGTGGCTACTGCATTGGATGGTGTAGAGAGAGGACATTTCCATCCTCATAAGAGAGTTCTATTGGGCAGTGTTGTATAGAGGAGGACAGGGGACCTTGTATGAAGCCATGAGGAGTTCCCAATTTGGAGTTAGAGGAGAAGGATCTGACAGAGGAGATGAGAATTAGTGGCCAGATAAGTAGAAAACCAGGACAGAGAAAGCGGTCACAGAAGCCAGAGCCAAACTCTCTTAAGAGAGAAGGAGGTCAGCATTGCAGAATGTGGCTGAGATGTTAACATGAGTACAGAAAAGTGTCCACTGCATGTGGCAACAGGGAACTCGTTGGTGACCACAAAGACACCTGTTTCTATGGGGTGATGGGGCTCTGTGAGGCAGATTGGAATGGGCCAAGAGGCCAAGGGGAAACAAGGAGCTGGAGGCAGCATGTGTACTCTCTGGATAATGGAAGGTTGATTTCCAAGTGTGAATAAAAGTCTACATGCTTGATTAAAAACTGTATTCAGAGCTTCAAATTTCTTCCAGTGAAATTTGCCTTGGTGATAGGGTTGCCAGAGTTAGCAAACACAAATACAGGCCACTCTGTTAAATTTGAATTTTGGATAAGCGATGAGTAATTTTTTAGTATAAGCACAGTCGTTCATCACTTATCAGTGGGAACATGTTCTAAGAAATGTGTCCTTGGGTGACCGTCCTTATGGAGAAATCAGATTGTATTTACACAAACCTAGATGGTAGAGCCCACGATACACTTAGGCTAACATGGCTCCCAGGCCACAAACCTGGACATCGCAGTGCTGTACTGAATACTGTAGGCAATTACAACATAATGGTACTTGTGTATCTAAACCTATCTCAATGCAGAAAAGGTTCACTGAGAACAGGACACGTACCATGAATAGAGCTTGCAGGACTACAAGTTGTTCTGGGTGAGTGAGTGGGTGGTGAGTGAATGTGAAGGCCCAGGACCTTACTGTACACTACAGAGTCTATAAACACTGCACACTTAGGATACACTAAATATTTAAAACGTCTTTAATAATAAATTAACCTTCGCTTACTATTACATTTTTACTTTATAAAACTTATACATATATGTTTTAAATTTTATGTTAAGTTCCGGGATACATGTGCAGAATGTACATGTTTGTTACACAGGTACACATGTGCCCTGGAGATTTGTTGTACTTATCAACCCATCATCTAGATTTTTTTTTTTTCTGAGATGGAGTCTTGCTCTCTCACCCAGGCTGGAGTGCAATGGCACAATCTTGACTCACTGCAACCTCCACCTCCTGGGGTTCAAGTGAGTCTCCTGCTTAGGCCCCCTGAGTAGCTGGGACTACAGGCATGCACCACCAAGCCTGGCTAATTTTGTATTTTTAGTAGAAACAGGGTTTAACTATGTTGGTCAGGCTGGTCTCAAACTCCTGACCTCATGATCCACCTGCCTCATCTTCCCAAAGCGCTGGAATTACAGGTGTGAGCCCCTGCACCTGGCCTCATCTATGTTTTAAGTCTCACATGCATTAGATATTCATCCTAATGCTATCCCTCCCCTTGCCTGCCACCTACCAATAGGCCCTGGTGTGTGTTGTTTCCCCCCTCCTCCCTGTGTTCATGTGTTCTCATTGTTCAACTCCCACTTATGAGTGAGAACATGCGGTGTTTGGTTTTCTGTTCTTGTGTTAGTTTGCTGAGAATGATGGCTTCCAGCTTCATCCATGTCCCTGCAAAGGACATGATCTCATTCCTTTTTTATGGCTGCATAGTATTCCATGGTTTATGTGTGCCATATTTTCTTTATCCAGTCTATCACTGATGGGCATTTGAGTCAGTTCCAAGTTCTTGCTACTGTGAACAGTGCTACAATAACATATGTGTGCATGTGTCTTTATAGTAGAATTAATTTTTTAAAAACTTCTTTACTCTTGTAATAATAGCTTAAAACACAAACACATTTTGTCCTTATTTATATTTCTTTCCTTCTATAAGTTTTTTTTTCTATTTCTAATATTTTATTTTTTACTTTTTAAACTTTTTTGTTGTTAAGAGCTAAGACACAAACACGTACATTAGCCTAGGCCTACGCGGCCTACACAGGGTCAGCATCATCAGTATCACTTCCTTCCACCTCCACATCTGCCCTCTGGAAGATCTGCAGGAGCGATAACACGCACAGAGCTGTCATATCCTACGGTACCAATGCCTTCTTCTGGAATCCCTCCTGAAGGACCCATCTGAGGCTATTTTACAGTTAACTTTTATTAAAAGTAGAAGGAGCACACTGTAAATAAGGATAAAAAATATAGTAAATATATAAACCAGTAACATAGTTGTTTATTATCATTATCAAGTATTATATGCTGTACGTAACTATATATGCTAGACTTTTATACAACTGCAATGCAGTATAGGCTGATTTACACCAGCATCACTGTAAACGTGTAAGTAATACATTTCACTATGATGTTATGATGGCTATGACGTCAGGCAATAGGAATTCTTCAGCTCTATTATAATCTTATGGGACTCCATTATATATGCAGTTCATAGTGGACTGAAATGTCATTGTGTAGTTCCTGAGTAATATCTCAAGTAGTGCATGGACATAAGAAACATTATTCATCATTTTTCTTAAATTCAAAGTTAGGTGTTCTGTATTTTATCTAGTACTCTATTTAATGTGAATTTATAATTTAGTTTCATTTGTGTCAAAATGTACTAAATGGCATTTGAATAAACTAAAAAACTAAAAGTGCATTTACATAAAAACAATTTGGGTGCTGAACACTTATGAGGAAATAATACTTATTTTAACTGCACATTCTAGTGGGAGAAAACATATTTTATTATCCTTTCAAGTATACACATCAAAGATAAGCAGTACAAGGTTTTAAAAAGCCAAAAATCACTCTCTGACATTTTCATTTACAAACCACACTATTGGCCGATAGTCATCCTACTTATTCATCTTTCCATTCCACTCGAATGAAATAAAGCAAGAGTGTCCTTTGAATGTTACATCAGTAATGTATTTTCCATTCATCAGCCCATTAGAGTTGGGTTTTCTGATCCTCTCTCAGGCAGCTGAGCTACCCACATAGCATTGTGTTATGGTTTGAATGATGAATCTTTTCAAGCATGAGGCATGTCAGGGTTGTGGCCATAGGGGAGAAGAGGAAGAAGGAGAAGCCCTCTCCAACTGCAGCCACCTGTGGCTCCTCAGACAGATGTAGCAGAAGGACACCACTGAGTAAAAACGCCAGCCATCTGCACCTGTGGAAAATAAGAGAATTATTTTCCAATGCTTCTTAAGGGCGAGGTTTTAAAAACCCCGCTTGGAAACGTCTTCTGATTGAAGATAGCCTATTTATTAGACTGCAGTGCTGATCCAGGTTTCCATAAACCACCTGAATTCTTTCTCTTAACCACTTTAAGCACTACGCTTTTAAAGATCCTTTCCGGCTATTGCCAACATGTAGCAATAAAACCCCTTAATTCAAACGTGCCCAGAAATGTGACACCAGAATGGATGTCATCTATTTCAGTCTTCTGTTACCAGGACTGAGTGCCCTGTGGGCTTCTAAACACATGCCCATCCATTTCTTCCTTGGGTTCTACTGTCCTCTGCGAGAATGCTGCTATCCTCACGGAACACTAAAAAGAGCTTTCAGAATAAAGGTACAACTGTATGTTCAGTTTTGTGATTTGAAAAAAAAAATAGGCCAGTGTGGTGGCTCACGCCTCTAATCCCAGCACTTTAGGAGGCCGAGGTGCATGGATCACGAGGTCAGAAGTTCGAGACCAGTCTGGCCAATAGGGTGAAACCCTGTCCCTATTAAAAATACAAAAATTAGCCAGGCGTGGTGGTGGGTGCCTGTAATCCCAGCTACTCCAGAGGCTGAGGCAGGAGAATCGCTCGAACCTGGGAGGAAGAGCTCACAGTGAGCCAAGATCTCCCCATTGCACTACAGCCTGGACAACAAAGTAAGATTATTTGAAAAAAAAAATTATGGCACAAGCAACAGAATATATGCATTCACCAACTAGATGCTAGATGCTATGAGAATTACAGAGAAGCATAAAATGAGGTCTCTGCTTTCATGAAATTTGTAGTAAGAGAAAACCAATAGGCCTGGCACCATGAGGCATAGCTGTAGTCCTAGCTCCTCAGGAGGCTGAGGCAGGAGGCTGGCTTGAGGCTGCAGTGTATGTGCTATGGTCGTGTCTGTGAATGGTCACTGCACTCCAGCCTGGGAGACTGCGATACCCAGCCTCTAAAAAAAATTTCAAAAGAAATTTGTAGTAAACAAGAGAAATATGACATGCCAATTAACAGGTTAAATAGCAGGGCAAGGCAGTACATTATTGCATGCATTATAATGATATTCAAGAACTTTTACTTGCTAATTTTATGGTTGTTGGAAACTTTAAAATTGTGAAGGCTGAACTTGTCTCTGCAGGTGGAAAAGCTGGGCAGAGGGGCCTTCTCCAAGGAAAGAATGAAGTGGGGAAGGCAAAATAGCCCAGCTGCAGAGGCAGAGGGGAAGATGGGCAACACTCTTCATGAATACTTTCTTCATCTTGAAGCTTTTCTTATTAAAGTATTTTCCTTATTAGCATTTTCTTATCCAGATGTTCTTCAAAAACTTTTCATGTACACATTCCTCAAATCTCAAATTACTTTGTAAGTAATGTATTCATAAAATCTTCTTTATGAAATTTGTTCATAAAATATTCTTTATGAAACATCCTTATTAATATTCAACAAAAATCTTTATGAATATAAGAATAATGTAACTGAATGAAAAGAACACTCTTCCTATTTGTAAAGAAGTTATTTTTTAAGCGACAGATGTTGAATATGTTCATGCACATAATAAACTTATCGATGATCCCATATGCAAACAAATCTTCTGAAAACCTACAATGTTCTAATTCTAAACCCTGACAATAAAGTGGTGGACAACGTAAGCATGGTTCTTGCCCTCATGGGGCTTACATTCTTTGTGAGGAATAATTTTTTTTTTTTTTGAGACAGAGTCTCTGTCTGTCCCCCAGGCTGGAGTGCAGTGGCACAATCTCGGCTCACTGCAACCTCCGCCTCCCGGGTTCAAGCTATTCTTCTCATGCCTCAGCCTCCTGAGTAGCTGGGATTATGTACACCCACCACCACATTTGGCTAGTTTTTGCATTTTTAGAAGAGACAGGCTTCCTCCATGTTATCCAGGCTGGCTTGAACTTCTGACTCAGGTGATCTGCCTGCCTCAGCCTCTCAATGTGTTGGATTATAGGTGTGAGCCATGGCATCTGGCCCAGAATGTTTTCAATAAAGGGAAAAGTGTTGTGTGTATTCCTATAACTAAGAAGTATTAATGAAGAATGTTGTCACATGCCCTTTGTCTCTGCCACTCAGTGTTCCCCATCTTTCCCCCAGCAAAGTCTTTTTTCTGCCCAATTAACTGTATCACAGTAGCAGAAAGTCAGGGTGGAGATTAATCAAATATTCCTTGAGAGGCTATTATGAACATAAAATAAAAACTGGCTTATCCAAGTTTTGCAGAAATCCTCAAAACTTAAAGAAAAACAAACTCATATCCATCATCCTGTCCCAGTTAACAGCAATTGCTGGAAACTTTATAAATTGTTTTTTGTTTGTTTGTTTTAATTTAGAGACCTGGCTTGGGAAATGGCTTCCAGTGAACATCCTTCATAAGGAATTTGCTCTCCACCATTCTGTTCTCATGCACTGACATCCAGTGGGTACCCCATGTCAGCTGAGATACTTGAGACTATATGTTGCAAAAAAGAGAAGGCGGGTAAAGGGTGAGAGAACATTAAATACTGCCAGGGTCAAATGTGGCTGTAGAGAGGTAGAGGAGGGCCCTCCACCAGCCTGTGTTATGCTGCCCTAGGAGGGATCTCAGGGCCACCTGTGCTCCAATGTCTTACACAGTTGTAGTAAATGGCTCTCCTCTACTATCACTTCCAGGTGAACCAGGGGGAGACTGGAGCACCTTGTAGTGCAAGAGAGTAAGGGCTTCAAGCAGCAACAATAAAAACAGTAGTGAAGGCAGGCGATCCAAGATGGCTGAATAGGAACAGCTCTGGAACACAGTTCCCAGCGAGAACACAGGGTGAGTGATCACCGCGTTTCCAAACAAATATTTACTGCCCACAGACGAGGAGAGTCTCAGGTGGAAAAGCACCACAAGTCTCCAGCATGGCTGTTTGAGCTGGCACAGTGGGTCTCTGCACAAAAACTCACACAAATCTGGGTGCCCTTTGAACTGGAGCCTGGTATGCCTGGGAGACAGATTTGCCCATTCAACTGAAAAAAAGGGGGCTGAAACAGGGAGCCAGGATCTGGTTCAGCGGGTCCCACCCTCACAAAGAACAGCAAACTAATCTATGTAGCCACTCTACCCTCAAGGAGGAGTTTTTTGTTTTTTGGTTTTTTTCTGGAATGTTTTCTTAAGAGCTTCAGGAAACAGGAGAGAAACACCCTCAGAGGAGGCTGTGGGACCATGAGGCCGGCTGCTGACTCCCTCTGTCTGGAGCCTCACGGTACAGGCCGTGTGGGGTAGGAAGTGTTAGTAGGAGGTAGGGTAGGAAGATGGTGGCAGGCACCCGCCTCTCCCCTGCAAAGACAGCCTGTCATGGCCACTGCCTGGGCCTCTGCCAGACCCCTGGGGCAGTGCCACCAGCCCAGAAGCCCAAGCAGAGTGTGGCTGGGGACCAGGGTTGGAGGCACACAGCCACCAGGAATTGCTTTTTTCTTTTTTTAAAGTATAAAGTGTTTTAGAAAAATAAAATCTATATAAAAATCTCTTCACATATAAAATCCTGAAGAATGTGCAAGGTAAGACCCAGTGCAAGGGGCACGCTCAGATATACACAGTGTGTGTGTGGGTGCATGCAGACATGTGTGTGCATGTGTGTGTGTGTGTGTATGTGTGTGTGCAAGGGCACATGTGGCCCACAGAGGGTGAGGAGAAAGCTTGGCTTTGGACTTCCATCTGGCAAGGAAGGAGGGTGGCTGGTCCTCCAGGCTGGAGGGTCTGCAGCTGGGCAGGACCTCTACTCAGCCAAGCTGTGGTGCATGGCGTCCTTCTCTTGCAGGGTGGCCATGGCAAGGCTCCTGTTCTGACCGCATCTTGATAGGGCTCAGCTCCATATAGACATCCTGGTACTTTCCCGAGGTGAAGCACTTATCCTTCTGCATCACCTGGAGCTCACCCTGGAGGCACTGCACCTCCTTCTTCAGGTACTGGAGTTTGTTCTATTTTACACAAAGCAGCACCTCCAGCTGGCAGGAACTCCGCTTGTTGCTGTGCCCACAGCCATTGCCCATGCCCTGTGAGGTGATGAAGCTGCCCAGCCGATCTATCGCCTCTGACAGGTGGGCATGCCGCTCCTGGTTGTGGTGCAGCAGCTCCTGGCCCTCCTGCTGGCAGCGGCACAAGGTGTGCCAGCACTCCTTGGCTTGCTGCCATCAGCGCCCCAATCTCCAGGCACTTCTGTGAGTACTGCTCCAATAGCACCTGCAGCTCCCACTTCAGTACCTCCACAACTGACTGGTGTTGCTTCCGGGGGCCATCCGGGCCCTGCTGGAGCCTCCATGTTTTGCTCAGCTCTTGGTTCAGCTCTTCCTGGCGGGCCTTCTTCATCGCTTCAATGGCTGAGGCCGTGGCTGCTGTCTCCTCAACCAGAAGCCACTTCTCCTCCTGTAGCTGCTGCAGCTCCCACTTGTGGTGCCACTGCAGCTCCTCCATCACCTGCTGGTGCGAGGACTACATCTCTGCCAGGCTGCACTCACATCCCTCCTGTAAGATGTAGCCCGGGGGAATGTGGCCACCCTCTGGGGATCTTGGTGCACTCTGAGCAGCCTCCCCTTGGACATGCCATGCCTCCAGCTGAGCCCGAAGAGCCCAAACCTCCTTCTCCAGTGTCTCATGGCTGTCACTTTGGGGCCCCTAGCTCTCTCCGTGGCTTTGGTTGAGCAGGGCAGTGAGTGGCACCTGCTTATTCTCCCACAAAGGCAGCTTCTCCAGTTCCTGCCACTTCTTCTCAATGTCCTCACTGAGTGGGCTCTGCTGGTTCTCAGTCAGGGAACACAGAGGCCCCAGCACGGCCTCTCAGCAGCAGGCACCTCTGGGGCCCTGCTGTCTGTGGCCTTGAACCACTTGTGCCCCTCCTTGAAGTGCCAGGCCAGGTCCCGCTCCAGCTCCTCCTGCTTGGCCAGGCAATCAGGAGCACCGGCCAGGGTGCAGGCC